AGTGATCACTGCCCCAGCTATGGTGGAGTTATGTTACACCTGTTACCTCACGTGCTTGTCACGAATTGTCACAAGGACCACAGTATGAATGAGGCCTATCTTAGGACATTCCGCACTCAAAGCACACATATTACGTAACTAGCAGTATACCCGTGCTTACGCACGGTTGCTTCATCGGTGATTTCGAGTAAGTAATAGCGTACTTAGTGGGCAGCAACGGCAGCAGCTCCTACCGCATCCGACCTGCGGTCAGTCGCTTCGGAGCTCCCGTCCACATAGTGACATAACTACAGAAGAACTAAACACCAATGATAGATAGAATAACAGCGAGCACGAAGCACGCAGTGCCTCGTACTCGCGGTCCAAAATGTAGAATGACCACTGCTCTTCACACCTATCACAGTAGCAGAGCGATCGCACCCGGACACCGCCTCATTAATTCTTGCATGCGACTGCTGTCGCGGTGGACTGCCGGAGTAGCAAGCGAGAGGAGCAAACGACAGAGCAACGCGCTCGAGAATGTAAGCACAATCGCAGATGGACCTGAATATCATACACCCCAAACTTGAAGCTACCCTTTCAGCTCTGGGATGCATGATGTCGTTGGTCTGCTCTCAGATGTAACGACATTAGCAGTATATCCATGCTTGCGTACGGTTGCTTCACTATTGATTCCGAATATAACAGTGTACCTGGTGGGCCTTATGACTCAGGGATGCAGATGCTGCAGGAGTTGGGAGAGCACAAGAGGATACATTTTCTGAGATACATTGAAATAATTGCAAGAAGAATATGATAACGCGCAAATCGAAAGAGCGAGAAACGGGCGGCAGAAGCCGTGTCCAAAACGGTATATAGGCTGGAAAAGGAAACCATGCTTATTTATAATACAAGATGGTTTTCAGTATTCAACCTATAGTTAAATTGGCTCTCCATGCTCACACATAAAAAGTACGGCAAGGTGCATCTGCATCTCATCTGTCTCTCTAGCTACTTAGTTTATCACAGCATTCCGGTGTGCAAACATCTCACACGACATATGGAGGTACCCTAGTTGTCATTACGGCAGAGTGCATACGTTGAAAACATCTGCGCAAGTCTTCATTCTCCATGTATGCATGATTCAGCGGCACATTGTATAAGTACTGCCATAACTTTATCCTTCCAGTGACCTATTGTCGTCATGAGCCTTTCCATCGCGGTTAGTCTACTCATTTGCATTTGAGTCCTAATCCCATCTAACGACTGCGTTGTAGCCTAATCACACAACTGTGCTGGTTATAGGAGGCGAGCTTGCTGAAAGCTATGCGGCCACCGTGCTGGCTCATGACGGCATCCATGTAGTTTTATTGGAAGCTGTGAAGCACCCCAGGTTAAATTTTCGATAACGGTCCGCATGCCTAAACTCACACCGAATATCAGGCATCATGTCGGGAAAAGTTTGCTTCCATCAATGAGGCACTACCTGCACTTCGTCGGTCTTGAGGAGAACTTCGAGTAGGGTGTTCACTGATAACTCGCAAAGACCTGCGTGGAGTCGCTTGTGACCTACATAGATCCCGGAAGACCTTTGTCTGCGCTGTGGAAGAACAAGCAGGGCTTGTTGGGAAGCATATTACATGTCAGACTAGGTTCAAGACAAGAGTCAATAATATTACGTCGAGATGGATGCTGAATTTTGGGTTATTTTATGGCGGTTCCAAGTACATATCGACATATGCACCACGAAGATGTTTGTACAATTGTCACTGACGCTGACGAGAAGACTTTTGAGCAGACTTTTGAGTTCTTCAGACCAGGTACTTGGTTTCAGCTTACCGTAATAATATGCTGATGGTTAGGCTAGTGTGTGCACTGGGGAAACAGACACCGACGCAAAGCTATCTGAACAGGCTATGGAAAACATGATCGAATTTACCCGACATCTTTTTGCTCTAATAGAGCACGAGCAAGAGAAATACGTGTTGCGCTAGAGCTACTCGTGGTACAAGGCCCTCTAATATGTCTAGAAGAATTAGCGGACGTTCTCAATACTGACCACGGCGATGCGAAAACGGTCCTCAAGAAATTTGATGGGCTCAAGATCGAAAAGGCGGATACTAGCGCAGAGAACTTCACGTGGGACGCCGTGAGCAGCTACGTTGTACGATTGGAAAGAGGCCAACTTGAGTTGGTCAAGGCATAAATTGTATTCGGAGTGTCCACGGTTGTCATTTGTACCTACAATATCGGCGTGATTATAGTAAGCAATATCACAATAAATTTGAAAGTGGGTATACCGATTTGCCATGTACAGCTTCTAATCAGCTGTTGAAGACGACCTTTGATCAAAAGGTGAACGTTTGATATCTGTTCGTTCTCTTCAAAGAGTTCAGATACTTTAAGGTCTGCGTTGGAGCACCTACGGCCAGTGTCTTGTATACAGCTGACTTAAATAAGCTCATTGAAACCACTACGGCGGTACTGAGAGTAAGTGTTACTAGCCTGGCCTATGCTGTGTGGCACTGCAGAAGGTGACCTCATGCACAACAGGTTGACCCCGGCTCACAAGAACGTTCCGAATCCAGCAGACTGTCTTCAGCTTTGAACTGGGTCCCCAGTTCCAAGTTGGCCTCGCCTGCAGCTTTCAAAGTCCACCTTCAGCCTTCGGAAAACTTGTCCAAAATTTGATGACAATAGTCTACCTCGTCAGATACTATTACGAGTATGCATGATTTCTCGTTGCGTTCGGGTTCGAGGTGGGCGTGGCCCAGGCTGAGGGGAGCGCCGGAAGGCAGGGTGCCGGAATACGTTGGCTCGGTTCTTTCCGGATCAAGCAGCCGTGCCATACCGCGGAAATTTCGCCGGAGACGCGTTCGCTCTCGCTTTGACAGCTCACTCACCTCTTGACCATCGACTACTACCTCCTCCGCTGAGGAGCAGCCTCTAGATTTTATTCTACCCTTCACGACCCCCTAGATAATTCAGAATGGCTCACCTCGCTCCTACCGGGAAGTGGGATGCTCGGTGAGTTCGTGCGTTCTGTCTATGCAACGCTCTTTTGTTTATCCTTGGTGGCCAGCTACCTTGGCCCCGTCCCTCATGATGCTTCGTACTACGTCAAGTGTATGGTTGGTGGTGCCCTTGCTTGTGGTACTACCCACGCTGGCATCACTCCCCTAGATGTTACAAAGTGCAACATGCAGGTGCGCTTACCCGTCTCTAGCGCCCCACACTTGGAACTCATCGTCTCTCGAAGGTTAACCCTGGAAAGTACAATGGACTTGTATCCGGCATCAGGCTCATCGCGGCTGAGGAGGGCAGCAAGGGTCTGTGGAAGGGATTCGGACCCACCCTCGTTGGGTACTCGTTGCAAGGCATGTTCAAGTATGGCCTCTACGAAGTCTTCAAGGATACCTATATGAACCTGGCCGGCGAGGAGGCGTCAAGCAAATACAAAGGCGCGATCTGGCTTGCCGGTTCGGCATCGGCTGAGGTGTTCGCTGACATTGCGCTGTGCCCGCTCGAGATGACGAAAGTCAAGATTCAGACAAGTCCGGCTGGCACCTTCCCCGTCCCGATGTTCGCGGCGCTCAGAGAGATGAGCGCTCTCAAGGCAGACACTCGGTACCCTTTCGGATCCCTCGTTCCGCTCTGGTCGCGTCAGATCCCGTACACGATGGCCAAGTTCTTCTTCTTCGAGTATATTGTCGAGCAGTTCTACAACCGCGTATTCACCGCGCCAAAAGACACGTACGGCAAACCCACGCAGCTGGGTATCACATTCGCGTCCGGGTACCTCGCCGGCGTGATTTGCGCCGTTGTCTCACATCCCGCCGACTCGCTCGTATCGCAGATGGGTAAGCCGTCGAACAAGGGAAAGGGCCTTGGGCAGATCGCATCTGAGGTCGGAATGGTATCGCTCGCTACCAAAGGTCTCGGTACTAGGGTGCTTATGATTGGTACTCTAACTGGTCAGTCTGCTCCAACTTATTTGAAGAAGTGGCGCTAATTGACCTTATACAGGCTTCCAATGGTGGATCTATGACTCATTCAAGACCGCGATGGGTCTCGGCACCACTGGTGGCAAGTAGATGGCATTAGTTGCATGTCACCGTAAGATTTCTGTTCGCATTGTCGATAGTAAACACTGACCTATCTTGTGTTAGCCGAGGCAGTCGTGCTATGGTGACGATTCGTTAGTCACAGCGTCGTGCAGTGGGCACATGCCGGTGTGATAATACTATTCGCTTATCTCGTAGCTTGTTTGTTGCTACTTAACACCTGATAGAATATTGTGAACATACCCATCACATGCTTGATTGTAACCGGAGGAACTCGGCTTTTTGCTATATCGGCGTTGGCAGTGTTTAGAGAAGAAACGCCTTCATGAACCGGCGCTGGCTAGGGATCTTTTGAGGCCAAATCGCGCGGTTACTTCTAACGTTATGGTGGCTGTGTATTGCAGAGCACGCTATGAGCTGAAGTCATTCGGCAGCTATGCTGAAAATGGCGTCGTCGATGTCTTCTTAGGCGTACTAAATACTGGTGGGCGAGCTCGCTGGGAAGGTAAAGGTGCGTGATGAGTGGGCAGTTTTGCAGGGATCATATTGTTCGCGAGACCTGCGGCAGACGTTGCCGTCGCCCTGCCAGCAGTAGCCATAGCTGAAGTTGTTGGGGTCGCTAGACTAGCATTTAGGGGGTGCAATGAAAGCCTGAGTATCGCGCAGCGAGACGAGCGTACCATACCAGGCATATCCAATTTGTCCGCTTCTGTCAGATTTCAATTTTGACGGAACGTGTATTTGAGCGGTGACTAATATATTATGGAACTTAGGCCACACCGTGTCAGTGGGTCCCTTTAGAATGAAGTTCTTCTCAATGATGTTCATAGCAAGAGCTCATTCATATCTTCAGTGACAAGGCCCATAAAACCACTAGGTGCTTGTGTTCATGAGAATATGAGACAATGTGTCGCCCGAGCCTTTTGCCAGGTTGCTACTGAATACTTTTTGCGAGTCACAGAATTATGAGCCTGTTGTCACTGTACCACAGCTTAATACGGACCGCGACTAAGCACGTCTTTAGGCTCGATGAAATGCTCATTGTGTTTCTAGGAGATCTACGAACTTCCTTACGCAGCGCCAAGCACGGTTCGATGCGATCCGATGAGTGAAGAGCAGCCAGCGTCACGCTCCTTATAGAGGGGAAATCTTATCGGGGCGGGATGACGAAGCAAGCATCCCTCTACTCCGTAGGACATACCTCGATGGAGCTAAAGCATACTTGGTATGAGATATGAATTATACCCTGACATTGACCATCAATTTTTGCAACTCCCTGCTACCGGTTGGTGAGAGGTACACCATGTGGCCGGGGGAAATTTGTGAACGCAAGAGGCTGACGAGAGAAGTCTGTACACCGCAGGCGCTACCGCAATAGAGTTGCAGGGTCAAATACTGGTCGAAAGAGATGCGATTCTAAACCTCACTGTCGCCGATGCACATATCATCTCATCGTACTCGAAGGTATCGGAACCGCCGCTAGTTCCTTGGGTCGTGCTTTCGGGGATCGGCCCTTTTGTCCACAAACTTGCGAGGGTCTTACAATCACCAGATTGACTTTCTTTGCAAGGCCTGAATAATAACGCGTTTCAAGGGAAGGCAGGAGTCGGCATTCTCTCGCGTTCCATTGCGACACAAGCGACACAATTTATGCCTAGAAATCATTACTTTCCAATTTGGTACAGAATCGCGAGAACGCACCTAAATCTGCAGCCTTCATTGCGGCCATACCTGCAAGATGGTGTATTGAGGTCCGACACCCTTCTGCTCGCCAGGTGATGTCCAGAACCTCTGTCACAACTCAGATCATGTGGGTATTCACACCATGTACTCACTGTCTAGATAGAGCTCGGTCTTCATGGGCAACAAAGGGCAACACAAAAATTTTCTCCAGGCTTAAACAAGTAGTGAAGGGAGAGGAAGCCTCGGTTTGCTGCTGCATGTAAACTCATGGAAGGGGCAGCATGTATCGTTAGCACTGAAGTAACCACAATTCAAATAATAGTTGTCCTAGCGACGTCGACAAATGACTATGATTCTCGAGAAAGTCTGAATCTTCTGCATTCTGCAAGTATAGGACGCAGTCTGCCGGCCGACAAGCACACCTCAAATATGTGATGGGCTTCATGCTATACGGACAAACTTGTTGGTCACAACTGACGAGTTTTGGTATTAACGCATAACATGTTGTATCAGTCTCTAGCAGTGACGGTGGCTGCACGATGAAAAACGTCTGTAGCTGTTTTTCGATCTCTAATCTGCCAATCCCGACAGCGCAGAACGGCTGGGGATGAGACTAGCCTTCACACCAAAGGGTGATCGAGTTCGCTCATTTTATAGCGTGGGTACAAACGACTAGGTACGCTCAGAAGACTATCTATGCCTTGACTAAACCCAGCTTTCCTCTCTCTAGTTGAACAACGTAGCCATTCACCGCATCCCACGTGAAACTGTCTGGACTAGTATCGGCCCGTTCGATTTTGAGTGCATTTAGTTTTTTGAGAACGGCTTTCGCGTCACCATGATCGGTATCAAGGACCTTCTCCAACTCCTCCGAACCTATCAGTGGGCCCGACACTGAAAGCAGCTCGGGTGAAACCGTCTCGAACACATATTGCTCCTGCTCATGAGTTGTCGGTATGAAAAGACTCCGAGTAAATTCGATTAAGGTCTCCATTGTGCGCTCGGATAGCTTAGCCTCCGTGTCCGTCTCCCCAATATATACTGGATTTCAAGTCAGTCATTTCGACGACGGATAGCTTTTGTCGAGTACCTGGTCTGAAAAACTCGAAGGCTTGCTCGAACGTCTTGTCGTCAATATCAGTGACGACCGCACGAACGCCTTCGTGGTGCATTTGTCGGTATGCACTCAGGACAACCATTAGAAACCTGGTGAATAAATAAGCATATAGTGTGACGTGAAGTTGTCGGCCCTCTTCTCTTTACCTAGTCTGACAGATCCCAATCTTTGCGTCGTGCCAGGCTTGCGCCTCTACTTCTGTCACCTGGCCTTTGCGCACGCCGAGAATTGTACACGCAGCGGACAACGCTCCCGTCAGCGCAATGTGAACGCCGGAAGAAAACAACGGATCAATGAAAGCTAACCAGAATTAAGCACTAAATGGTAGTCCATTGATCATAAAAGACTTACCCGCAGCGTCTCCGATGATTCTAAAGTGGTCACCGGAATATGCGGTGGCATGATAACTGTAGTCCGACGTGGATCGAGTGCTGCCCTCAATGAACTCTCCTTTCTCCCCGATGAAGGTCTGGACACCAGGACATAATTTCAGTTGTTCCATGTAGTGATCCACGAGACCGCCTTTACACTGCGCCTTCTTCTTGTTGGACGTCTCCTGGTGCATGACAATTCCGATGGAGGTTATACCTTGAGGGAGAGGGATTACCCACGCCCATCCGGATCGGTCTGTGCTTGCCGGTCAATTCAGTATTTCGATATCTTAAAGCTGAAAACATGCCTTCCAAGACCTCGAACCAAGGAGCTACTTCCCCACGACGGCTCTCCTTGTAGCGAGTGACGCCCTTCCAATATCCATACACCGCGACGTTCTTGAGCCCTTCGCGAATGAGACGATTCTTCAAGTACTTGGTACTCATCAATCCCTGCCTCCCCGAAGCATCGACGAGCCATTCGAACTTAATGGATCCTGATCCGCCTTGCTTATTTTTCCAAAATGCAGATATTGGTCTCCCGGAATCCGTGCCGCCTTCGAAAATCAATGATTCAACACGTGTCTCTTCGAACACTTTGACACCCTGTTCCACAGCATGGTCAAGCATAAGCTTGTCCATATCCTCCCGCAGCTGTCGTCGCAATAATGTTAGTATTCATTGCAACATGGTATAGCTAAGCAGAAACTCACAACATTCCATGTAGTTCTGCTCGGGCCTAGGTGGTAAAAGTCCGCATCTAAAGGAAGACATTCAACGTAGCACATAGATGGCATCTAATAAAGCATATTTGGAACCGGAAACGTACAATTTTCCGGCTGAGACTGGACGAGTTTGAAGGCAGCACCGGGCTGGTGGGATATCCTCAGCATATTAACATAAACTAGCACGATATCAGCATACTTTGTGGACAAATCCCTGCTCATCGAATTTCGCCTCGAGATCTATGAATCGTAGGTAATGCCTCATTGAAGGAAGTAAACTCTCTCCGACATGGTGCCTATCCCCACTGTTAGCCACCACACGTAGGCTTTTGTCGATGAACATGCCTCGGATGTTTCGCCGCTTCCAACAGAACAACGTTAATTCCTTCACGAGCCAGTGTAGTGGCCGCGTAACTTCCAGAGGGTCCTCCTCCAACGACCAAAACCGTTGTGTTATCAGGCTATGGAGAATAATCGAGTTGAATTATATCACCAACAAAAGCTATGAACATACTGGAGAAGTGATGTCGCTCATGACAGGATAGTCCTTGGGAGATGAGGTGCTGTGTTGTGTTTGAGTAACACGGGAACGGACGTATCACAGTCGATTTCGAAGGCCAAATTTATATAGTCTAGTGGAATCATTCAAAAATGACAGAATCAGATACTCCATCTGTTCTTTTAGTGAAATTGACGCTTACCTGGGATGTGAAAGCAGTACCGCAGCAAATGCACATCTATTACATACTTGGTCTATCAAACCTATCCCATCTATCTGGATTAAACCTTGTTGGACAAGGATGTGATGCGACGCTATTTCGCGCGTGCGAGTTGCACGGCTGTGTGAGTCACTCGCCACAGTGATGTTCGGATCTCAGGGCGACTGGGACGGTGATTGAGGGCCAAGCCGACCAACGCGGTGCTAGGCACACCTTCCAGGGAAAATTTACAACCTATTCCTATCCGCTTCTGGATAACACAAAGATGCAGATATTTGGAGTCTGAGAGACGAGCATCGGGTCCCGTCCCAACTGGTTCCTGGAACAGTCGAGACGTTACTTCAACTTGAAGCTTCGACTGGGAATGTCGGGGATAAAACGCGTTCCTAGCCCGTGTCTTTGACACGGGATAGCAACGAGAACACAGTAGAAGATGTTGTGCGATAGCAAATGCTCACTCCATACGTATTCGAAATCTCATGAGGTTCATGATCAACTTGAGATTGCATCCGCGAATAATACGTTGCAAATTGTAGCGGAGACCATGATCGAGAGAAGCGACTGGCAATTTAATGATATTTGCCTCAGTGGGAATTGATAGTTGTTGCCACCAGTACAGCACTAACATCGATTTGAATTTATAAATTAGTGGCGCTTGCGAACAGCTTATGACGCTAGCGCCGGGTGTTGAACGTTCATCAATCATCGTTCCCAAGAACCGTTCAATACCAACCACTTCACCCGTCTGAAATCATGACGATATATAGTACAGACTAGCTACAATCACCTACACGTTGAAATACAAGCCCAGGGGTCATAGCTAACCTACTGTCCGATCTAAGCCACACAACAAGTCGCTAAAAAGACTAATGAGCTGAAGAACTCTGCGCTAGAAGCACCTTCGCCTGTGGTGAGCGTGGTTTGAAGGACGCCTTGACGTCCTTCGGAAAGCTGCAGGTATCCATATGAGCACCGATCTTCAAATATAAAACAGAAATGTGTAGACAGACCATATAGTTCCGGACGTGTACGCTACTTCCGGAATTACAGGTTTGCCCTGGGAATCTTTAATTGGCACGATCTCACATGTCGCTAGCATTGTTGTGACAATGGCGAAGATAGAGCCTTGCGCAAAGTACATGCCGGGACACGCCCGCCGCCCGAAACCAAACACGAGGTCTGTGACCTTCTGCATTTCCACGTCCGAGCTGTTGTACCGCTCTGGTATGAACTTTTCCGGGTGCTCGTATACACGGGCATCATGTAACATATGCCTATGAATGCGAATGTTTAGAAGTGATACAGCTGTGCTTGAGAGACTTAGTGGAGACTCACCATACATTTGGCATAACCAAGGAACCCTTCGGAAGGTGGATGCCATTGTACACGTCGTCCTCGGTCAGCGCATGCGGAAGGCCTGTTTATTTCAAATTCCATGAATCGCATGCACTGAATGTCGGAATGTGAAGGCTGCTTACAAAGAGGGATTACGGGTGCCCAGCGGTGAACTTCCGTAATGAGACTGCGGATATAGGGCAACGATTGCCTGTCTGTTATCGATGGCAGCCGGGTGGTGCCAATGACAGAGTCTAGTTCTGCCTGGGCTTTAGCTTGTATCTCCGGGTACCGCAACATCGCAACTATGAATGATAACACAGTAGACATATTCTAATTATATCGAAGGAAAATTCGATTTGAAACTGAATACTGTCAAGGAAGTAGCACGCACGGTATCAAGTCCACCACCAAGCATAGCGGAACCTGCCCAAACGAGAGAAAATTCTTCTTCCTTTGAAAGCTGGCCGCCTGCTCGGGAGAGCGCAGTCGCGCACATGTTTGGCGTATGCGCCGCACCTTTTGGCTGGAACGTAATAAGCCACATTCGACAGTGCATCTATAGAGATAGCCCTACTAACCACATTTTCTTTCGCCCAAAGGTAGGGTGTCCATGATGCATCCGTCATGATCTTACGCCATTCCTTGGCCGTTTTGAGAAATCCGGTACCCGGCATCCATTCAGGGAGATATCGGACTTGAAAAACAAACATAAACATACTAGAATAATCAGAATCAAATGGCTTACGTTGGGGGATGAAATCGACTAAAAATGCGCCAGGTACAGAGGCTTGACCAAACTTCTCCATTGCCAAAAGGGGTAATGTGTAGAATGGGTCGTTTTTCGACTTTACTTCGTAGCCAAAATTGGCATCAATAATGATTGATGCAATCCTCCTATTCGCGATGTGAGCAGAACAAAGAAATGGTCGACGAAGGGAAAACACAGACATTTTTATCTCGTCGACTAGAGAGCTAGAGTCGTTCATTACGCTCTCTACGAGCTTGCGCGCCTGTGCTTCCTGCAGGTTGTAGTACCGCGGAACGGTCGCTTGGTTATAATCTTGATTCGCGATTTTGCGCTGTCTCCTCCACTCTTCACCATATGGCTGGAGTACGAATCCTTGACTGAATCCTACACTGGCAACAGAGGTACGTATGAGGAGTTCATGAGGACGGGCCGGAATACTTACAGATCGCACGCCATAACCTATTAGAGATATGGATTCAATGACATGTGCGGGAAATAACGCGCAAATGCACTTGCCATGTGAGGGCGGTTCGAGTATATGGAGGATCGCTTATCCAACAGATCCTTGGCAACTTCGGCTGAGCTCAAGAGTATAATAGGCTGTCCAAGCACTTCAACATGTATGATATCACCTTGGCATGCGCTCAGATGGTCAGGAAAACCGACCAGGATTACAAGTGTGAAACTCACCATAGATATCAGCCCACTTGGAATAAGTCTCCCAGGGGTTCTCCATGGGTAACTGGAGAACATTTCCGAGGACAGGCCAGAGCGTTGGACCGGGAGCGAGGGATCGTGCCTTCCGACTTCGAACGATTGAGCTGACAAGCACATGGACGACTCCAAACGTAAGGCCGGTGACTATGATGTTCATTCGCAGTGTAGAACGGGCTACTGCTGCAAGGGCCAACGCGGACGAGATGGGAAGAACGTCTTCAGTCTTCATGTTGGCGATGCTTGAGACTAGGAGGGAAACCACGGACGCGTACTGAGGCGAGCGGGCGAGGCAAAGTGGACAGGGAAGGGAGAGTCGTCTCAAAGAGGGATAAAGTTTAAGTATTGATAGGGGGATGTTGGGAGAGACATCGCAGTCGAACAAGTTGACGGCATCGACATGGCTGAACCGGCGAGGCGCACTACATTCCTCGGGAATTCTCCAAGCGCCAGGACCAGCCAATCAGAACACCGCGAGTGCCTGTAGTGCACTTGCATTCAGGAGATGGCGCGCGTGCTCCTTCCAAGGTGGGTAGGTGGGAATGACTCTCATGGGAGAACGGGCGCATCTGCCAATCCGTTCTCCCCGAGTCGTGCGGCAAGATCCTGGCTGGGTGCCAATAGAGTAGTCTTCACGACGGGTGGTTCTAGGTATATGCAAGATGATTGATGCGCATCCTCTCCCCGTCTCCTGCCCCTCGTTGCAACAGACAACTTGAAGTGATTCACAGACGAAGAAACTCTTCCGACTACATCAAGTGGCACGAGCGAGCTTACAAATTAAGCCAGGTCACTCCATAAGGTCAATGCGAAGACAGCATGCCACTGCAATGACTCGCCTTCTTCGAATTAACAGCAAACACACACTGGGGTCCACGGGGTACTACATTTCGGCATCCCAATTGAGTGAGAAGTCCTTTGAGTACAGCTTCCATCGTGTCCGAGAACCACGCAAGTTTAGCGGAAGCTGCGGACGAGAATGTGACTGACATAGATAGACACATATCAATCAAACCGTCTGTGAAGATACAAACAAGCCACCAATTACAAGCATAAGATCATATTTCCAGTGGAAGCCCTATGAGAACACTCAGAAAATATTTGAAAGTTTATCCATCGAAACTACAAAAAAAAGCAAACTTTGTTTCGATCGTGACAGTCGTGACTGAATTTCCGCACCTGATGTATTTTTTTGTTTAGCTACATAGGGCTCGGCGCGAACAATAAAGAGATCCCCAAAGCGGGCACAATCGGAGACTGAAAGTGACCCGGACCTTGGAATCATGATGTCCGACAGCGACTGTCTTGTCTAGCTGATATCCGAACGCTGCGCGAGTCGCGTGTGGATCATCCCTGTGCAAACAGAAAATGTTCGACTCTCGGCTGGCAATCATGTAAACGATCAGGGGCTGTAGGGCCAAAAACATATATATATTGCGTTCTGGATTTGATCTAAAGGAGAACAAAGCGGAGATCTAACTGAAGGTCAGCAAGCATGGGGGACTAAGTACTGCAAGCAGCCACACCACTGTGTCATGTTCTTGATCAATCTTCCTCTCCACCTATGGCCCAACAATCAAGGGTGCAGAAGGAGTTGAGATCATCTCACAAACAGGATGACATGAGTGTGCACTCGCATGCAGTAGCGGGCCAGCTGGCAATCCAGACTTGACAAGTGGACAAGGAAGAGATATGTGGCGGCCGGGTGAGTCTAGACGTTCGAGCTTTGGATCCAAACTCATGCACTTAGAACTTGCGTAGACATCTGTCAATTTGAGCAAGCTAAAATTAGCCTTCATTAACATAAATGGGCTTCCCCGCTGTCCTCTGGGTATACTGATGCCAACGGGTTGAAGGAGACATCCTGGGTACGCATCAACAATCATGCTGCAGTCTGCAGTGTTGGATGTGAAATAGGATGATCTGATGTTACATATCTTATGGATGCACGTCTATGTGAGCTTCATCTCAACATTTGATCCCTAATGACAGCTCTTGCACAGATCTGGAGCGCGCGCACAATACGATGCGGTGGCTCTACGCGTTGAATTCTGGGCAGTAGTCTCCGCTGGATCAAACTCATGATGAAAATCAGGCAACGTCATTGCCGTGCAGTCAGGTGAAGCCGAACATCGCATTCATCTCGCTTGATTTTTTCGAACCATCAGTGTTCGGAGTGTATAAAAGCGCCCAGATCTATTGAGCAAGGCATAGCGTCACTCCTTATGCCGTCTCGCGTGTGAATTCTCCCGCGAACATTGAAATCCAATAGATCTGACTACGAGAACATTTCGTCAAACATAATTAATCGAATCGCATTCCTCACCACGCACAACAACATATGATAAGCTAACCCAGATTCACTCAGAAAAGCTGCCAATATCCTGGACCTCCCCCGTGTCAATTTTGTAATCTTTCCCGTGCTCCACCTCAGTCGTCTTCATAATCCGGATGGTGTTGATACCTGTGTCGACCGTGTACGCCGTCGTCGTCTCAGACCCTGTGCGAGAACTCTGCGCGCCTTGCCTGGGGAAAGAAAGAGGGATGGAATGGCTGTAATCCCCCTGCATATCATGGACCCTCCCTACTGACCCGACGGAGAATCGAGCATTGCGGTATATGTAGCACGCCACTGCGTTCATTAGGATGACGCCGGGGATAGTAAAATACGTCCGATACGCCAATGACAGCGATGTGATGTAGAAGAGGATGATGAGAGGCAGGTCACACGCTATTTTGACCCTGTGTGCATCTCGTCAGGCTCGACACACAAATACAGTATATGAATGGGGAGGGAACGCACACATAATACAGCTGTCCATCACGCAGGAGCGCCTTCGAGATGGGCTGGAGGTAGTCGCCGAACAGAAACGACCGCATGCGTTTTGTCGGAGGTAGGTCAATGTATGCGTTGCGCATGAGCCGTCCAGAGATTCCGAAGAAGACGACAGCATCGTGGATGAGCACCATGATCTCGATCACGCCGCCCCAGTTGTACATCTGCTCGGTCCAGCAGTATTCCGTTGGCCCAATCGTGCCCCCTGTTGAGGACGCGATGAGCGCCGCAGAGCCTCCCACGACGCCGAGCCACACGGTCAGGTACCCCGCCATTACGTAGCGGTTCCGGTTGAACACGGCCGCAACGCGGAAGTAGAAGAGGAAGCAGGTGCTGGAGACGGACAGTCCCATGAATGTCGTGTCGACCTTTTGCAAGGCCCTACAGTGGCCTGTCGCTGCAGCTGTGGAACGTTACAGTCAAAATATCATACTTTGCAAAGTTGGTGATACACACTTTCGAATATGACACTGACGAGCACATAAGCGAGTGTGGATATCCTGTGTGCAGGCTCGATGAGTGACCGAAATCTGCGCAGAGGAAGAACATACCGAGATATATAATAAACGATGGTGGATATGTTGATTTTATGTTTGAACAAGAGGGCATGGTCGTTGGAGAGGTTACTGAGTAGCTCCCAGATCATCGCCTGTAGACAAATGAATTAAATCTGGTGTTGAGATGCGAGCGGTGTCGAGAGAATATACGCACGCCGGTCGATCCGGCAAGAATGAACTGCCCTATCTGAAACTGGCGCACCAACGATATAGGGACATAGGACAGTTCATTGAACGGATCTGGGAGCTGGCTGCAGTTAGGGCTAGACATAGACGTGAAGCGGACGGTCAGTGACAGCGTCTTTTTCGTCGAACGGAGTCTTTGTAGTGCTCACGACCGAAGCACACAACCACATGTCCTTCGACGAACCTTGCTTACATTATTATGCGACAAGTCAGTAGGGAGGTGTTCCAAATCGGAGTTGGCGCCTGCCACGGCGCATACGTGCACATATCCCATCATGTTATAATTGAGGGCGGTGCTGACAGACGGTCACACCATCAGCTAATACAATAGTGGTTTGTGCGCTTTTCTAGAGGGCAACGGTTACTGCTTGTTCGTGTAGAGTCAAACCAATGCGGACAACCTAATTCCTCTCACCTCCTGCCACAACAAAAAATGTCCATCTCCCTGCCATGGGAAGGGATTGGAAAGGTGCCGACAGAATAGAATAAACCTTTTCTACTTTCCATAATGGGCTTCTCCCCACCAAGGAAATGGTCATTTCTTTGTAGCGTGCGTATCAGCGACGCCGACGAGTCTTTTCGTGGAGTTATTGGAACTTTCCGGGGCGAGAATCCTAGTGATCATCTATACCAAAGGTAAATTTTTGTTAGCCCGTCAGCTAGCGGGGATGCCAGCACAGAACCCCTCGAACACATGAGACTACCAGTGTTGTCGACTGTCAATCAGTTCCTGGTCTCGCTAATAGATACGATAAGAAGCTGCGTGCCTGCGCTGCGGTGGGAGCCATCAGCAAATTAAATGCGATGTGCTGATACACCTGATTAGACTTGATATACACCTGGACAGATTCCTGAAATTCGGGTGATTCTGCTGAACAACCTGAACGATTTTTTTTACCACTGGCGGGCTTGTTGAAAATAGCTACCACACTGTAGAATACCAGCAATTTATGTCCTCTCGACATGTCTAGGCACCGAAAGAGTAGCTTTGGTGGGTGGGGTTGCCAGTGCCACAAGTTGCCACTTCAAGTGTTGCAGGTGTTTCAGACGTGCCACTCTGCTGATGCGGCCGCATTAGAGACCCAAGACCACGTCCAGAGGCCTAACGCACCTGGGTGATTCTCGAGCGGCGATAACACATCAGCAGAGATGCACTGGCAGGCATAAAGTGCTAGTGAGAATATGAAATCCCAATGTGTCTCGTGGGGTATCACCAGCCCATGTGACATGAGGATGCAACAAGGGAGATGCCGTAGCCAATAAAGTGGATCGATTTGGTCGATTCGCGTGTGATTCGCGCGCGCTGTGCTGTCCACTGTCCACATCCCGCGACGTCTGTGGCAATCGATGTGTAACGCCACAGGGGGTGGCATAGCTCTTCGAGGCCGCCTAGATATCTGATTATCATCCGTCCAGCACGACAGAGAAGTTGCTGTTCTGGCCCAGACTCACAGCATGCACTATGGGTTTCCAGGGGTGCCCTCAAAGTGAATGATGTAGTACATGCGCGTGCGATGGACTTGAGGTTCAACCCGTTGGGCGCGTTCGTTCTCCGAAGTACCAAAGTGTGGGGATCGTACGACAGTAGCAGTATCACCGCAATTGAGATACAAAGTGTGGCACCTTTCTGCCATTGTGTCAGCTGAAAGAGTCCAAACGTTCCACCGGCATCACATCCTCGGATCGAGCAGCAGCCCATGAGTCGGCGAAGCTGATTGCGAGTTACTTTGGGAAAAGGGTTCTATTCGCCTCAGTGTTGGGTCATTGACCCCGTCAATCGCGGTGGTTGAGTCAAGTTCTTCAAGGTCGCCAATCAAGCTTGATCCGTCAACGCGCAAGGGTGGAAATAGCTTTGTAATACTAGATGGACGTTGACTCAAGGCGCCCGTAAAAAGCGCGAGATGATCGGCCACATATTTTACAGCAAGTGGTGTGGGGCGCGCGGTGGTAGGGATCGATCATCGAGCGATATTTGCCGGGCGGCCGGGGTGATGGGCCGCTACGTGCAACAGCTCGTTGCTTGGACTGGACTGGACTACAATGCACCCATTACGGGCAACCACATACTGAGAGAGCCTCGTGTCGGGCTCCAATCCATTTAAATGACCTTCAGAGGCCAATCAATAAATGAAGTCGCGCGGAAGACATAGTACGCATTGAGAGAGTCCTAACAGCTCAGAAACAGACGGCTACACAACACCTGCCCCAGAATCGGAGACACAGCTTACACACAGCGAGACGACACTGACTACCGACTGTCTCTCGCCTTCCCTGAATCGGACGCATTAGCAGTGCCCGGAGGCGCGTTCGGATCGACTGGGCCAATCGTGTCCTTCATGAGCACGAGGAACAAGAGCATCATCGTGCCAATGAACGCGACGAGGAACCACAGGCCCGCTGCTCTCCCGGTGAACGCCTCGGGACCGCCATGCGAAATCTGCACGCTCGTTTGGATGGACGTAACAATCGCGACTCCGGTCGCGACGCCAGTCTGCAGCGCCGAGTTAAATACGGCGGAAACGATCCCAGATACGGCCGGGGGCGTGATCGCGAGCACAGCGATGCTGTCGGGCGTGCGCAGGAACTAATCAGTAAAGTGTGCGCAGATGTGAGAGGAGAGTACGTACTTGAGCGTCGCATAGAGCATCGCAGCGCCAGCGGTTCCGATGAGAAAGCCAGGGAACGCGAGCGGCCAGTAGTGCTCTTTAGAGTTGGCGAAGGGGAGTAGTATTGTACCGGCGGTGATGAGCACAAAGCCGATGAGGAGAACCCATTTCAGCCGCATCTTAGACTGCAGCGTCGCTGCGACGGGGACTGCGGGGAAGATTCCGAGGGCTATAGGCAGGCTGTGCACGCAAGACATTGTGATCAGCTAAGCGTATAGGTGCGAGAGGGGATGCCTCACAAATGCAACGCGGTAATAATCGCAGACCAGCCGTAGACGGTCTCCCAGTACCACGAGAAGAGTAGCATGATGGCTGCCCACCACATACAGGGAACCACGGAAATGGCGATGAGAATCGTGAAGTTTTCGTATTTCCACATCTTCGGCGGGCTGTGCAGAAGTCTAATGTTTTGGTGAGCGGCGGCGGGGACAAAGCACTCACAGCGCGGCATAGTCTTCCGGAAGCCTCGATTCCCAAATGAAGAAGAAAGCGAAGAGAACCGCGGAGATTATAAGAGGCGCAATTACTCGGGCGGACTTCCATCCGTCGTTGGCCCCCGAAGTGACAGCGAAAATGAAAAGAATGAGCACCGCTGCGAATAGTACAGATTAATAGGCAAGAGCTTCATCCACCAAAAGGCATATATAACTGACCCGCGAAGAGAACAACGCCAAAAAGATCGAGCCGCTTGAATTTCAGCATCTTGGAGACGCGAGATTCTGCATGCATCCCGTCGCTAGGCCGAAGTGAGTTCGGGACGAAAAGGACGATCCAAAATGCGATGAATCCAGATATGATGGCGCTGAAGTAAAATACCCAAGGCCAGGAAGTGTACGTGACCAGCAATGCGCCAATAATGAGACCCAGTGCTGCAGGTGGATTAGTGCCCTCTCGTGACGACGCGAGAATTGTGGCACAAACCGATGCCGATACCACCCATCCCGCCGAACATGGCGATTGCCTTTGCCTGTTCTGCTGGGTCAGGATACATGTGCACGATGAGGTGTAGAGCAGATGGAATCGTGAGCGCGGCACCTGGAAAACCACCACTGAACATATAGCTGCAGTTATTCAGCGCAGAGACGCCACTTACCTGCACCCATCAGTGCTCTGCAGACAATAAGCGGGATTTCGTGGCGCATGAAGCCGCCGACGAGGGAGAATACACCCATGATTACGATGCCTATGACAAACACCCATTCTACAGCAGGCACGCAGTTATTATCAAGGTGTACAGGAAGGGCGATCGGTACATACTCGCACTGTAAATATCGCTGACACGCCCGCTCTGTTTGACATTTGAGTAGGGGTATTTAGAGGTAAGAATGAAAATACGTACGATAAGGAGAAGGGCGGCGAACGTAAGTTGGTATGAACTGAGGAGCCAGACACTCTGGCTGTTTGGAATGTCCAGCTGTGCGGCGATGGGGGGTATAGCGACGAAAAGAGAGGAATTGTTGAAAGAGTCAAGGAAAAGGGCAAAGCAGAACATGGAGAGGAGAAGGGCCTTGCGGCCAGCCGGGAGCACCGCAAGCACGTCGGGGGGAGACGCCTGGCCATCGGAGCGGACGCTAAGGGAGCTATCATCCTCTTCGAGTTTTCCGGGCGTGGCGGGACTGTACGCGATGGGCGGGGGCTGAAGGGAGTCGGAGGCCATCGCGCGGCGGGGGGGCGTAAGGGGACGAACGGCAAATAGAAGAATATGAGCATGGAAATTCCACCTAAAGTCGCATATATAAGACGCGCATGGCGACAACGGCCAGTAAACCCTGGATCTTGATCGACCAGTGCCCCGCTTTGTCGTGTCGAACCGTAGGTCTGGGGGTGTTCGAGGGTCCGACAGCGCCTTCTATTTGGTGAGATCAAATGTGGTCCTGCACCTTCTCGACAGATGCGCTCGGGTGTATTGCCAGGCCCTTCGCCTCTTCTTCCGAGCTATCCCCGTCCAGTCCTCGTCGCCCATCGCCCGCCCGCTGCCACACCGTGATTGCTGCGCATTGCTGTCCTCGTGAACGCATTCACATCGACTGCAGTACCCCAAACAGGAAACGCCATTCACTGACAGCAAACAGATGGTCGGCACGAGACCCTCTGCATGACAGATGGAACCAAGGCCTCAGCTTGTGGCCTCGGTTCTATCTCTTATCTCTTATGCGAACTGAAGAGCACCGAATTCTAGCAGCCTAAACCAGGAGTCAGGTATCAGGGGCGAGTGCCAATCGTACCCCCATAATTGACTGATAAACTTGCACACCGTTTGTTCTCGAGCCTCCAGTGGTCGTCGCAATGAACGACTCGGTCCAAGTGGCCAGCGGGCGACTAGACGTCCACAGACACAAACAAGGCCAAATGTCGCCAGCCGATATTGATTAATGACTGATCTCGTTTCAGACAGTGCGATCGCCACGCGGATGTGCCGCTGTGCGCCAGCTCATCCTGTAAGTATGGATATCGCTTAAATTACGCTGTCGAAAACGCAGCGCTACGCTTATCAGTCTCACTGAGACTTAGTTTCCACTGAGCCCTCATCTCCACAAATCTAATAATTTATGTCCAAATCTCAACCTGGTCTCAAATAATACACAACAAGGAATTTACTGTTTTCTCTTGTTGGAAAAGGGAGGAAAGGCATTGGTAAGAGCTTTTCCAACACCTTTCTTCATTGGGGAATTGGTTGGTTTTTTTTGTTGTGATATAATCCCACCCACATGTATAACCAGATAGTCAAATACAATAGATGGTCTACATAGGCCCTCATGGTCAATAAACAAGATAGATATAGAAACAATGAACATGAGCCACTGCACTTGTCCTGGACCACTCCATCTTTCATACTATCTATGAATCCAGCTGTCCAGACAATTTTTTGATCCCTCTACTTCAGCCATAGCAGTTGTTGAGTCACAGGGAGGCTCATAGTTGGGAAATACACCTTGCTGACCCTCCCAAGCCTTGATTGTGGCAACAACTGTTCTATCACTGATGTCTGATGCAAAATCCAACTAGTTCAAGTGTTGCCAATGCAGGAAGAAATTTTATGTCCAAAATTCATGATGGTGGCAACTCCCTCTTGACCACAGTCCCTGTGACAACAATTGGTTATACACTCAAAATGGGCTCAGATTGTACATGTACCACTCTCTTGGGTAGAACGGTAACCGTACCGCACAAGCTCCAAATGCGATCACGGAGGATGTAATATTGTTAGCGCGTCATACAACAGCGAAGTCGTCGTTTACGTGCAATGGAATGGACTTTTTCCCCACTGGTGACATAGTTCTAAAAAAAGGCGAGGGCCATATTACACATAGATATCAAAACGCACAACGCCTGATACACATGTCCTGAGCCGTTATTGCGGGAGGAATCCGATGCTTTTCCAAGTACCCACCCATCTATCCACGTCGTGTGAACTCAGCTGTACAACGTCAGAACCGGAGAGCGCTGGCGACGCAGTCCGACCCTTCTGCGACTGTACAGGAGGGAGAAATCCCTTGCTCTCCATGTGCGAGGTATGAGAGCCCACGTGGTCACATCCCTTGCGAAAGAATTGCAGCAGCCTGAGCGCGATTCTGTCATCAGCCTCGCGGTCACGACCGCCCGAGGGCTTGGAGGCAGATAAGCCGGAAATACCAATATTCTCCAGTCGTGCGAACCACTCGTCGTAAGGCACAAGGGGCACCTTGAGCCTCGATGCCAAAGGCTCTATGATAGTCGCCCATTTCACTGGTCGGGGATGAATGATGTGCAACGTCTCATTCGGAACGTTGCACATGTCCACTATAGCAGCCGCAGCGAGTGGAGTCGTCAGCCACGATACATCCTGAATTGACGGGGTCAATAAATGGAACGGGACATTGATTCGCAACTTGCCTCATCGCCATCGGGTAGACATCCGACGTATGTTGCTGACTGGACGAGAGCCGGGAACCAGTGTCTGGTGTCCCATGAGCCACTGGCGCTGCCCGTCAGCAACCCCACTCGAATAACATTAGTCTTGAGGCGTGTCATCTGTGCAGCAAGTTGTACCAGTCTTTCTGCTATCCATTTGGATTCAAGGTAGCCATTTTGTACTGCGGCTTTTGCATCCAAGATGGCTGCTTCAGGTGCTGGATTGACAGCTGAATCTGGACGTAGTTGAGTATTCTGAATGACTGGAGAAAACTACATTTCTACCTTGGCAAACTCCGATGGTGCTGATGAAAGAGAGGATTTGGAAGTGCGGGGAGCGCAGGGCCATCTTGATGAGTGCCTGAGTGCCTCTAATCAAGCCTTCAAATTCTGTTAACGGGGCATAAAAGTCCAATTTCCATGCTTAAAAATATCGCATGAGCTAGCGCGGTTGAGAGAAAGCATTAAAAAATACCATTATGTATTATATGAGTAACAGTAGAAGATATCTAGATGACAATCAGAGTATGTACTGATAGACAAGCACAAAATACGCACATTGAGCATAGACGCTTCATCCAGCCCCAGGTCTTCGGCATCGAAATCACTCTCAATCAGGATTAACTTGGGCGATTCCAGTACATCGACGGAAAGTCCTTGGAAGACCAAACTCTCGCGCTGTCTGTGGCGCAATCCAAATTCGCCTCGAGTCTTCCTGTTGAGCGCATAGATTCGCTTGATGTCGTTTCGACCAAGCAGCTCGGCCAAGAGATGGGATCCAAGTCCACCGGTGCTTCCAGTCAGTAGGACAACGCGGTCTGAAGCGACCTCTTGCAATACCGGTTCCTCGAGTGCTGTGACTATATATTTTTCAAGCAGCTCCCGCATCTCGTCGTCTTTACTGGGTGCCTTGAACGACTCCCCAACAACGCTTAGCGACGTATCATGATGAGAGGCCGCCATTTTATGTCGGAGATCGTTCAACGATACGTCAGCCAGAAGCTGGAGTTGCGATATATCTAGAATGGGCCGCAGTGCATACGATAGCCTGGCCGCAGAGAGGGAATCGATACCGTAGGTAGTCAATGGGGTATTTGGTGAAATGTCTGCAATGGAAACGTTAAGGACGATTCTAACCGTGTCGGCAAGCCTGTCCACGTTGTCTTCAACAGATATTTTCTGTGCGACTTTCATAGGGACGAGATGTCTTCCTAGCTTCGGCATGCCGAAGGTCCTGTCCAATGATTCCCAATCTAGATCTGGGATATAATGAACAAACCTCTGCCCGCTCTGGAATCGAAATAGAGCATCTTCAAGCCATATGATCATTTCTGGTGCAGGGATAAACGTTAAGTACTATCAGAGACGCGATATTTGATTTACCTTCCGCAGAAATAGACCACTCTAGGAAATGGCTGAAGATGGTTGCTTGTGCATTAGCTTGACCTACAAGCAACATTGATGAATCTAATATTCCCGGGCACACGAAAGAGAATGCGTTCGGAATCAGAGAAATTGCCTGCTCCAACGCCATGTTTGCACTGCCATAGTGTGAGACGAGAAGCTAATGCGAAGGTCGATCACTTACGCGCCATAGTTAGTCTGACCGCCAACCCCAAACAGCCCAGATACGGACGAGAACGCTATCAAAAAGTCCATACTCGCAATATCAACCGTGTCTCGAAGAGCAGAGAGAACATTCAGTTTCGCGGCGAATACGCCGGAGTAATCCTCCCTAGTGAGGTTCTGGAATGCGCGATCCGCAAGAACAGCCGTCAAGATCATGCAGCCGCCTAATGGGGCGGTGAGGCCTCGTGTGAGAGCTTGCATTCCCACCGTAGAGGTGGCATCTACTGCATGCACTTCAAGATGGAAGTCTTCAATGCTTCGCAAATGTTCGAATATGCGCCTCGCGAGGATGTCTCCGTTGTTAGAGAGACCATCCTCTCCCCGACGGGATGTGACGATGACATGACGAGCGCCTCTCTGTCAAAGACATCAGGAGTCAGAAGCATCAACTAGCTCCTGCGACTCACCTGATACATCAAGAGCGCAATCCGTGCGCCAAGACTCCCTATACCACCAAGGATGAGATACGATTTGTCTGCGCGAAAGACGACATGACGCTGGATCGTCTCTGGAGCCTGAGCGACATGAGGAATCAAGGGTTCCTTGTTGAGGATTTCCGCACACAAGAAGTCAGGGTTGGTTTCCAGGAACGACATCGCCAGCTCAAGAGCATCTCTAATTGCCAGAGGATCTCGATGAAGGAAATCAGGAAGGCCCGTACGCTCGTCGTGCCAAGCAAATAGCCTTCCCCTCGTCCGATGCAGCAATGTTTCGGCCAGTTGGATAGAGCATTTGTCCTCGTATCCAGAGATGATGAGGTCAAACCGCCCGTGGCCCAACCGGGCAAGGTCACGCAAGCTGATATCGGAGATGACTTCGGTGAAGTTGATCCCTTTTGACAAGTAGAATCTCTTGACGGTCGACCCAACGAGCGCATCAGAATGCGTAAGAAGGATAGATGATGATTGAAGACGTGTGGACTGTCTGAAGGCACTGAGTCCAGGAGCCAGAATAGCAGTGAGAAGGCCGGGTAGAAGGGCAGAAAGCGAAGCGGAGCACTGAGCAAGGCGTGAAGATACAGGACGCAATGCATCGACCTCCAGTGTAGCACGCTGGCCACGAAGACAGTCAGTCAGGCCGACTAGGCAAGAGTCCTGCTCCAGTGTCCCTGTGCTGTCCTTAATGACTGAACCAACGACTCCCACGACACCGCCGTCAGAGGTCGCCGACAGTACATGCACGAGCACACAGCCCTGGGGAACGATGTCAATTAGAGCACGTGCGGACGAGGGGCCATTGATGTCACAGTGTGACAACGGGAGCAAGCGAGGAACAGACAATATGCCGTCAGAAGAGACCATGATCTCTGGCTCTTCTTTGAGATGGCTGGGGATTTGAATCAGGGCCTCATGTTGCATGTCTGTCGTGAACGACGACGGGAAGGCGATCAAATGGATGGACCATAGTGGGTATTCGCGGCGTAGAGCGCGAGCCAGCCCTGTGGCAGAGGCAGAATGCTGGCCTTGTTCGGCCAGGATCCAGACATCAGACTCAGAGGAAGGGTCTACCTCGCGGAGGTCGCTCTGCAGGTGATCCTCATCTCCGAGTCTATAGTGACAAATCTTGCGATTATGCGAGACGAGATACGGCTGAGGGTTGAATGCCTTGATGCACTTGAGAGTCACGAGTGAGGAGTGCTCTGTATCGTCGTATTGAGCAAAAAGGACCACCAGCCCAACGCGTTTCATAATGTCTGTGAAAGCCATGACGACGGGCATGTGAACATTGTTACCTCCAGAATCCGTAGAACCCGGGATACACGCGACATGATCCAATACCGTCAGCGTGAGGATACCGTGCGGTCGAAGGTGGCGTACACAACGAATAATGGTTGCATCTAGTTTGGGCTGTTCTGCTCCCACAGGGTATGATGCAATGGCAAGATCAAAGAGCTCGGTGTCCTCATCGAGCGACTCCATCCAATCGTTTAAGCCCCACGCGGAAACAACTGTACAGTTGTGGCACTGAAGTCGAAGGGCCTCGCGCGAAATGTTCCCAACGATGTGCATCTCAACGAACAGGCTTGGGTATTGATTTAGGACTTCAGCCACAACGGCGGGCAAATGCGACACTAAGCGTCATCATGTAAGTGGGCTAGCTGTCTTCGTGATAAATGCGACTCACGGTTAGTTAGCAGTAACATTCTCACCACGCGTGACCGGCCATCAGACGCCATATCCTCCAGGCAGGACTGAATGCCAAAATGGCTCATTTCGAGCGCTGACTGTGTGATCATCGGAGAGACGGCCTGTGCAGCTGTTTAATAAATGTGACAGGGACGATATACTCTCCGTACTTTTTGTGGTGTGAAGGGGCCAAACCCCACCCTCGCATTCGCATAAAGCTGTGACTCCACACTGCCCAGAAGATTAAAATGAGACTACAATCGCTATCTCCGCTGAACACTCACTATTCTCTCGTCTGTACGCTCGAGGACGACTTGAGAACGCTGGGAATCTGCAATGCAGAGCCTGTGTGTGTTTGCACAAGTAGCCGATCGACAACTTGAGGCACAACCATCAGCGGGCGAGAAACTTCGCGCAAAGCTTGCATGCGGTGTCTGGCAACTTTGACACCCAACAGAGTGCACAACCGCGTCCCGCTGTCATCAGCAAGAACCATATCGTAGATCATCGAAGCTGTGGTTTTTCGTGTTTAGTAGATGGCGGCACATGCGAGGCAACTATCCCAAACTCACTTGGTGTCCAGCCTCTCACCACAACATGTTCGTAGATATGTTTTGGAAAGTACGACGGTTGATGTGGCAGATGAATATATAGAGCGCCGATTTCAGCTGGTAGATAGTACCCGTTAGGATCGTGGTTGCCATGGAAGGGTTTGTACGCTGTGATGTGGATACAGGCGTCCAATATCGCTGGATGTAAGATGTAATTCTTCCCACTGTATAGTAGTATTTCATTAGTCCAGAGCTATGGAAAGGTAATTGTTACTTGCTCTATCAGTGTCTCATCTAATCCCCTAATCGAGACAAGCGCTTCTCCGTAACTGTAATATGCGTTCGTCACCCGTTGGAGTGAAGGCCCATACGACGAAAAATACGACAATTCTTCATAGAACGCTGTCTCTCACGTATCAGCAATGGTAAAAAGAAACGTTGAAATATTTCGGCGCACATGAACCGACAAAATTCGGGCACCTGCGTCGGATGGCCACAATGTCCAACTTTTCGCCGGGCAAGGGGTCTTCACATGACAGATAGCCATCTGCGTGCAATCGCTCTTTCTACAGGGGGGCTTATAACGTGAGAACATAGTAACAGAAAGCGCACTGATCACACCCCGTACCCCGTTCACACTGCTCCCCGAGGACGTCGCCGATTTGATGGACCAATATGCGCCGTCACGGTGAATACTGAGTTTGACCGGGATCTCCGATGATAGAGATAACATCGCTCGAAAGCTGACATTCATCAGTGTCGTAGCGCCATATTCCAACGCCTGTACAGCATGCATCTATGAGTTTCGCACCAGGAAAAGGCAATGACCACAATACCATCTCCACAAACCCTGCCGCGGGCATTATCGGCTCTCCTCGAATAATATGCTCGCCTACCATTGGGTGGGTATCGCAATTGATCCTCAGATACGGGTGATTCAGCGGTCCGTTATGCGGCGCCATCTGCTTTTCGTAGCCAAACGTATCCGGGTATAAGGGAAACTCTTTCTTCACAAACGGGTACGGGGGGAGGGAAACCGCAGCTTCGTAGCATGCGCGCTGGTTCAAGCGGGTAAAATCTACACATTTGTACCCCGCAGCAGTCAGCTTGCCGAATAGCTCGAGGAGGTTGTGATGTTCGGACAGAATGTCACCAGATTTGGGCCGGCGAATCGAAGATAGCACGACGCTCTCGTTGTCGACCATCGATGACATATACGACGCGAGAACAGGATGTGGCGCAATTTCGACAAACGTCGACGACGCAGAGCCACATATGGCTTGGATAGCGTTTGTGAAGCGGACAGGAAAGCGAGTAGCTTGCCAGAAGTACTCAGCATTGTACGGACCCTCGAAGTACCTCCCCGTAAGCGTTGAATAGGTTGGAATAATGGGTACATGTGCGCCGGGATAGCGATAGAACAAATCGTTCAGACTTTCAACGTATTGTTTCCGACAAAGCTCCATGATTGAGGAATGGATCGGTACACGCGTCCTGATCTTACGGGCAAAGACGCCACGTCGCTGGGCAAAGGTTACAGCTGCATCCACGGCGGAATCGTGCCCTGCAATAGCTACTGCAGAAGGCGAGTTATAGCACGCGATCTCCACAGTGCCTGGGATACCTTCGGCACGGACGGCGTCCAAAAGGGCTATTGCATCCTCGGGCCCACATGCCAACGCTGCCATCGTTCCACTCTCACTCTCAATTGACGAGAATGCCACACCTCGTAAAATGGCCAATTCGACGGCCATTGCTTTTGAAGCGGCTCCGGACGCGTAAAGAATGGCTGTCTCGCCCGCAGAGTGACCAATTAGAATGTTCGGTTTGACCCCCAGACTGATCAAGAGGTCGAACAAGGCTATCTGGAACATTGCGATCGAGGGGAGAATCACCGATATCGGCCACGTTTCTCCCAAGTCTGTATGGTGGTTTCCGCCGAACAGGCCATAGTCCTCAATAACTGATGTTGTCGTGACATTTCTGAAGACTGCATCCATCTCGAGGATGCTGTCTCGGAATGCGGGAAACGCTTTGAAGAGATGCTTTCCCACTAGTATATTCGCAAGTTAGTTCAATGTGATGGGTCATATGACTCTACATACTGTCATAGTGTTGAGGGCCTTGTCCAGAGAAAACAAAGACGATCGGATCAGAGTTTGAAGCGTGTAGGGAATATTGGGGCAGTGAAAACTGGAGAGAATTGTCTGCATCAGGGGTGGCGATTGCATATGACCTCCAAGTCATTTGTCTTGCCGTGCGACCGAGCACAGTCGACAGCACGGACAAGTCCGCCCTGCCATCAGCCACCATGTCCGCTATCGCTGACGCATTTGACGAAGCACTCCGGGCCGATAGGCCGCCGGCCAAGAGTAGGACAGGCGTCATGACATCCAGCGACTCGGCGCTGCCCATGGAGTGCAAGGGCGGTGGCCCTTCCAGCACTACGTGGGCATTGGTGCCACCTATCCCAGAGCTAGCCATAGCTATCAAAGACCTGTGTCCAGAACGACAAGGCAAACATATCGGAGAGCGCGGGACATGCAGCCGATGGCGATCCCAGGCTATTGATGGATTAAGTGTCCGAATATTAATGTTGGGCGGTATCAATCCATGCTGTAACGTCGAAATGACTTTCGACATGGACGCGAGAAGGGATACAATTTCTGTATGACTTTACAGACCATAAATCGCAGTGTGACGAGGTTTTGAAGTGCGAAAACATACCCGATGTTTCCTTTCACGCTACCTACGAGTAGGTCGTCATCGCGCTGAAATTCCTCTCCAACCCAATTAGCTTCGATAGGGTCGCCCTTTGCAGTGCCTAGTGCATCCAATTAGCCTTTAAACTATCGAAGTATAAATGCCACCACAATTCGACGCTTCACGTACCCGTTGCATGCAACTCGATGTAGTCAACTTCTTGTGGCTTCCTTCCCGCGCGTGCAAATGCCTGTATCATAGCTTCACGCTGTGCGTCTCCAACCGGCGCGTTTGGTGGCGCACTGGCTCCTGTCGAGTTGATCGCTGTCCCGAGTATCTAGTCCCATGTTAGCAGCCCTGTTATTGCACTATAATCTGTATAACATACTGTAGCATATATTCGATCATGATCTCTCAGTGCATCGTGGAGAGACTTGATGACGATTGCGCAGCATCCTTCCGCTCGGACGAACCTTCAGATGAGGAAGAACATGAGGTCATGACAGAATTATCCTAATAATTCTTACCCATCCGCTTCTGAGTCGAACGGCTTGCATCTACCGTCCTTTGCGAGGATCGATGCTTGGCTATATGAAAACCATTCCATGAACCTAATACCAACAATTCGGATCTTGAACATCGACCGCAACAGCACCAAGAAAATCTTACCGGTGGTTGAGCTGGCAGCCGGCGACTATAGCAGCTTCGCATTCATTACATGTCACGGCCTGGACCGCAAGATGCAGAGCTGTAGCAGTGGAGCTGCATGCCGTATCTATCGAGATGGATGCGCCAAGAAGATCGAGGTGATACGAAACCCGATTGGCCAGCATGGAAGGTGATCCTGCAAGAGAGCCTTTCGCCTCATATTCGTCCTGAATAGAAGGAGAAATCCAGCTTCATGCGAGCGAACGAAGTGAAAGATCGTACCACATCTGTTACAGTCCCAAGATCGATACTAGTTCCTGATGTGAAGCAGCCAATATTCTTCATTCTATAATCTATTCCCGAATCACGGAGCGCGAGGAAGGAGTTCTCAATCAGTTTTCTCGTGGCGGGTGCCATTGCTCTAGCGTCGCGGGACGAGACACCAAACTCGACGTTGTCGAACATGTTGATATCCTTGAGGAACGAGCCATGACAACCCTTGATTTGTCCCAAACCGTTACCGGTCCATCTACGAAGTGAGGCGGCATGTGATAATTATTACTGTATCGTAGGGTCGAAGAGAGCTCACGATTCGACGTTGAGTCGATCAGATGGCATTGATTCGTACGCCTCTCCTCCGTTGAGGAGGAATTCGTAAAATGCATTGTGATCAAAATTATTGTTTGAATATGTCCCACTTGGCAATTCTACCGAGATCCCCACCTGTGAAGGCAATTATAAGACTGAATTAGGATCTTCACGGAAACATAACGTACTACAGCTATGCCAGGCATGCCACCGTTGAGCAACATCTAGGGGAATGTTCAAGAAGAAAAAACCTGGCGCCGAACGCACAGAATGGCATCGCCATCTGATTGGAGACTGTTTATATGGATAGAATAGCTATGCACAGAGTGTCCGGTGGTCCTAGAAGATGTGAATTCAATCTGTCATAAACGGGATAAGAACCTCTGAATGCGATGTCGGCTCAGTGACCGCAGAGATCTGTCAGATGTCATTGTATCCGCTAGAATGAACGCTGGAGCCACAGCGAGAACCATCTCTTACATAAGGAGCAGATACGGCTAGAACCTGAACGCACAAGGTGCCTGAGATAAGCGCCCGCGATGTAGCATAGCGGGATTACAAAATGGGCAGATTATCGGGTAGTTTAATCATACTATCATTGCACCAGTAATGCAACTTTTTCAGTATCTGGGCTCCCTATAGCGCAAATCGAACCGGAGCGTCTCGGAGTTTTCGCCAGTCGATGCAGAATGTTTTAATGTACATACGTGAATTTCATAGGCTCAGTATGTCAAGAATTGAGCAATACCAAGAGCAAAACAAAACCGTAACAGTAGTGCAATTTTTCTTCGAAGCATGTCACGTCGACCGTCACAATGCCGCACATGCCGTTTTCTTTGTCCGCCCGGCGTTCAGTGGCTGGACTGCGAAGTTATGCGAAGTACGCCACCGCTACCATCAGCTGAGTCAAGATTCACGACGCCGATTATAGCTAACTGTCACGGAATTGAGTTCGACACAGGATTCAGGAGGGGTTCACTATGCAGATTATTCCGTAGAAATTAGAATAGAGGTGTGTGTGTTCTTTAAATAGCCATGGTGAGTTATTGTGTTAATCGGACATGGCGATCACCCACCCGAGGGCACTCTTGGTCGAGATGTAGTCCTCAAAACACACTCGCGAGGCATTCGAGTCGCTCTCGTATTTTTGATTCATACGAAAATCATACAATAGTGATAATAACTGTATTTTGTATCATACATGATTTATTGGTATTTTTAGAGGGGGAGGACCAGCTGTAAGTTCAGTAATTGCACTACTGTTGCGATTGCATTACTGGTGCAATGATAGTAGGTCGAGAATAAGTTCGTACCCAGCCATTTTGACTTTTCAGCTCCTCTATAGAACACACTCTGCGGTTTCGCACTTCGCGTCTCTTTTTCCAGCGGCCGGCGCCCTCAACGAAAACAGAGGACGCGTTTTAAGTCCGACTGACCTACGAGTCTAGGCCGAGAAGGCGAATATCGCGAACGTCTCGCGCATTTTCTCCGGATATGGCCCCTTTACATACGATTGTCAGCACTCCCATCTTACCGACTTGAAGTCCATGGAGAAGACGCTGCTCATGTCACAGCAAAGAATTGATCATTTTGTCACGACAGAAAGGAAAGGAAAGACATCGAAAAGGTACCTTTACAATGCCATGCACCTGTTCTTCTTTACGAATTGAGTCTTTCCCCACTGGAGACACGGTCAATTTTTTGTTGCGTATTAGTTGCCCATAGACTGTGACCGGTCCGAGGCACCCTTGAGGATAGCCTTCATTCTCATCCGTTCTCTAGACAGCTGTTCGAATTCCCAGGCTGTCGTTGCTTGTATCAAACTTCAGGAACACATCGCCTACTCGATAGCAAAATCATCATGCCAAAGAGTTATCACCCACGAGTTCACCTCATCATTTTGGAGTAGAATGCATGCAATACCTGACAGGGACGCCCAGGACGACGGACATCTAGATCATGGCTGACAGCCGTGTAAAGCTTATACAGACATTCCCTCAATATCTAAGAGTGCTGAACACTGCCAATAGTGGCGTCCAAGGTGTAACGGCGTCAATCAGTCCCGGAGACCCTTCATGTTGCGCAGGAGAGCTCTCGATGAGTGCCTTACTCGCCCAGTTGATATCTGATCGTAGCGGAGTTCGCAGCTGAAACAGGCAGAATGGAGCCCGCTAGCAACGCACCACAAGTTTAAGTCATCATTTTTTCAACATCGTGCACCGATATTGGGCCAACGGGATGCTCCAACCCTCCCTTTAAACGAAGCCGCAGATTCAGGAATCACCCCGGGTCTACGGTCTCTCGATGCAACATGTTTTCTAAAGGACAGGTCTCTTCTGTCTGTGCCGAAGTTTTGGTTGTTAGACCTCTGGAAAGTGTTCAGAAAGGAGTATCGTGTTAAATATCACCAGCAATATCACCAGATCGTTTAGTTGTGCCACTGTTCTACACAGGAATGCATCAACACTTTGTATACCGGCTGAGAATGCGGATCATAATTCGCTGGCTGATGGTATGTGGGCTCGGTCATTCAGGATACGATTTCATCTAATTTAAACCCTCAATCTAAGCCAACGACAGTGCGCTGATAGACCAGTATCATGATTTTTCCCAAAAGGACCGTAGCGGCTTGGCCTATCTTGCGGGAGCTGAACCCTCTGGCAGTTACGTCAGTGTTGCAATCAGCCCTCAACCTATAAAGACTGTAAAAAGAGAAACTTCATGCGTGATTGGGTCGACGAATATGTCTGGCCCTCCATTCAATTGCTCCGAGCTGCAGCAGCTCCCCAATCCATTCAACGAGCTTTCATACATGCCCCCAGGAACAGCACATGCGTTTCAGATCGCACAGTATATTATGGTTGGCTCCATGGGGGTGAGCATCATGTGCATACTACGGACCGCTGTTTTTAGGGATGAAGCCGTTTGCTGCAGGCTTTAGCATGGGAGTTGTTACTCAACCTGCCAACTGATCACCGGCTGCTTTTTGAATATAGAGTCACCTTCCCGACCATCGTGTATTATTTCTCGAGGTAAGTCCTGTGATAGCATTCGGTTGCAGTGTCTCATTTCTGCGTCATCTTCGTTAGACTCTCTACCCTCTCATACGTGCTCTCCAGTACTATCTTTCAGAGTGAGTTTCTCGTTCTTCCATAAAAATCATGAAGTGATACGATTGCACAGCTTACCCAACCGGCTACTGCGTGGTGATTCAGAGGGTCGTCACAATCTCCATGGCCATATCCGTCTCCTCGACCAGTCTACTCTTTTACTTCCGTATGGCCGCCGTTTTTCACAACAACAGACTCGTAATGGCCGTTTATGTCGTCTTATGGCTTGGAGTTGTCGCGGGTGGCATAATGCTTGTTGTCTCCTCAACAGGTGGTTCCATGCCGCTTCCAGAATATTGCACGATGTCCAACATGGAGAATTATGGTGGTGCGATTGGAGTCATGGTTCTCATCCACGACACATTCGTCTTCACAGCGATCTCGTGGAGGATCGTTCATCATAGTTACGGTGACGGTGAAAACTCTAAGAAGAGGAGAATGCGCATTTTCCTTTTCGGCGATTACCTGCAACCAATTTCGAGAACACTACTGCGAGATGGGCAGTTTTATTATGTGTACGTGTCTTCACGAACATCGCAAAGGACTAACGTACGACGATTTTGGTAGCGCCAAGATTGGGTGTAATCTGGTGATCGTCATTCTGTTCTACATCTATTCACTCTCACTCGTATACCGAACATTCTTCACCATCCCAAATGTGTTTGTCACGAACTCGATGGCGTGTCTCATCGTTCGCCATGCGAAGCTCTCACTTGGGTCTTCGGGGAAAATTCACGAAGTAGAAGAAGACAAGTCGATTCCTCTTGCACTTCCGAAACATGATGGTGAACGCCATCGCGCGGGTTCAGTGTCAGATTGTACTGCCGAACCTGGGGTTACGAGTATCCGTATTGTTAAGACGGTCAATGTGGAGCAAGTGCAAGACTTTAAGATTGGAATGGGAGAATGCTGCGACAAGAGTATCTAGGATTCTAGGTAGAGCAAAAGTGCAGGGAGGATATGTATCTATTGCCCACACTATATATATAAATATGTATTAGGCGGTACCTCTTCTGTTTATTACACAGAGAAATTGCTATATATCAGCACGTCCTCCTCAATTCGACCCCATGAATGGATGAAATAGCCGCCAATAACCAAGTGGCCCCACTCATCAAGAGTGCCGGTGTACTATACTGATGTACCTTAGTAGAGCGTGCCAGTTATTCAGTGTAATATCTGGATGCCAAATTAATCAACAACTTCCCAGGGACGCCCTCTGGTACTACACCCCAATATACCATTTTGCAGGTATGGCCGTAATGACTGCAGATTTAGGTGCGTTCTCGCGATTCTGTACTGAATTATAAAGTAATGAGTTTCTAGGCATAAATTGTGTCGCAATGGAACACCACGACGCGTGCTACGCTAAACCTGACCTCAGGGGCCCGAAAAGTTGTATTAATCACCGGTGTATCGAAAGGTCTCGGAAAGTCGATGGTTATCGCATTTGCCCAGACTGGTGTCTCCGGCCTTGTCCTCGCCGCTTGTTCCGACATGCCCGCCTTGAAGGTCGCCGTTGAGGCCTCTCAGCGCTCTGGGCAGTCGTTCAAGGTGATCACCGCCACCCTGGATGCGAGCAACTTGGCGCAGGTGGATGCTGCCGTCGCCAAAGTGAAGACAGCGTCTGGGCGGCTGGACATCCTCGTGAATAACGCAGGTTACCTTGGCGCGTACGGCCTCGTTCAAGGGGACTCGGATCCACAAGAGGCGTGGAAGGCCTGGTCGGTGAATGTGCTAGGCGCGTATGCAGTGACACGCGCGTTCTTGCCCCTTCTGCTGGAGAGTGTGGACAAGATAATCGTCAATATCGGCAGTCTTGCCGGGCTCGCGAAGACGCCTAATCTCCTTGCTCACTTGGTGCGTTTTACTTGGAATTTCCAGCGTATGGTTAGCGTGCCATTGATGGCGACTATTTTCCAGACGTCCAAACTCGCGCTTCTGTGATTCACAGAGCTGCTGATGACAGAGTGCGGCGAGAAGGGCATTGTAGCGCACTTCGTCTACCCCGGTGTGATTGAAACTGACATGGCGAATCAAGTTCCCGAAGTCAAGGTGGGTGGGTTTGGTATTATCGACCCACCCAAATTGCTTGCGCACGCGCTTGTTTGGCTCGTACGCGAACGGCAGGAGTGACTGGCTGGTCATTACATTAGCCCTCGGTGGGGCGCGGAGGAGCTGTTAGAGAAGAAGCAAGAGATTATCTACAGGAAAAAGCTGAAGGTGAAGATGGTTGTATTGCACAAATTCGCACTTCTTCCATCGTTCAAGAAGGGAATCGAAGAGACTCGGACATGTCCTGGATGAAGTTGTCAATCTTTTTTTGTTAAAGTTACCCAGCACATAAGCCGAGGAAGGCCGTGTCACTATCACCGTGGCAGGAGTCGAAAATAAGAGCTTGCATGTACTGAATGGAATTGTCACGTTTATTTTGTTATCCAGCTTCGGGCTGACTGAGTCGGACACTGTCGCGACGAAGAGGACTATCACGTGAGCGCGTCGTCGCGCCACCCACGAGGACGCGCGCCACCGTCTCTCACCCGACCCACGTACTGTGCATCGCTCTGCTCTCATGGGACAGAACTTTGAGCCCCAAACACAACTGCGACGCTCACGAAGAGGGCAACCCTTCGTGTCTGATTTTGTACTCCCTGATCTGTCTCATGCACCATTTGGACCACCGATATTTGTCTGCGCAGCTTCCGCTGAAGATCTGTATGAAGCGGAGCGAGCGAATGTCGATCTGCCCTCCCTTGAAACGCGCCATTATTCAGGACTTACGAGGAGAGAAGATCTGGAAATTGCAAGGCCCTCTCAAGTTTATGGACGAAAGGGCCGATCCCCGAGAGCATCGACCCAAGGGACCGGCCGCGGTTCCGACAGCTTCGATGAGAAGATATATCGCATAGGCGATACTGTGTTAGTGAGAACCATAACAAAGGTACCCAGCATTGCTGTGGTAGTATCAATATGGGATGTCGCTCGTGATGGCGTCGCTTTGGAGCAAGGTCTGAGGATCAAAGTCCATTGGTTCAACAAGCCCGAGCAGCTTCCGGCTATTCGGGCGCGTAGGGAGACTGGTGAAGTAATTGATCATTCCTTTCGGCCGAATCCTTTTTCTGATCACAACAACCTTACTAGGGCGAGATATACTATTCATTGACCTCCGTGGCCATGTTGCCGCCCTTGAGCATCATTGACCATTGCACTGTGGCTGTAGAGCCAACCCCGATCGTACCTCGAGCCAGAACTCGCCCCAGTGACGCGGCCCGCACGTCAACTTTTTATTGTAAGTTGGCCGTGGACCCTCTGAGGGGAATATTTTTTGCTTTCAACTGGGATACTTTAAGAAATCACGCATTGGCTACAGTAGCCCACGCAGATGGCAGCCCACGCTCAAGCTTGGAGGCATGGAACGTGAAAATCGAGGAGCAAACAAGCGCGAGCGGGAGTCCCAGGAAACGTGCTCGAATAGCTGCGGTTGCAGATGCTGCTCGAGAAAAGGCAGCCACGCTCGAGACAGTTACCGAAGAAGACGTTGGATCCGACGTGGCCAACTCGTCTCTAGATGCGGCGGAAATGCAGTCAGACCCAGAATGTGACACTTTCGTACTGGGTGAGTTTGTGCCTCAGGAGAAAGATAAATCAATCGACGCGAAAAGCATACATGTTCCTGAGACACCCTCTCGGAAGCGGAGGCGAGCAATCCTTGTTCCCAACACGCCACGCATTCCCCGAGCTCCGCGCGCCGTTCCGGCATCCGGCGCCCCTCGCCGTACGACGACTGCTATTCCCAAGCGATCGCGAAAACAAGCCCAAGCCTCAGACTCGGAGGATATCTCTTCTGTAAGAGATGAATATGTGCCTCAATCAGACGAGGACGACGTAGAAGAGGAAGAGGAAGAAGCCCACGAAAGCGAAACAGAGAACCCTCGTGTCCCCGCGACACCCTCTCGCAAGCGAAAGCGTGCAGCCGCTAGTCCCAGCACACCTCGCACACCCCGAACTCCACGCACTGTCCCAGCATCACGGACTCCTCGCCGTGTAGCGACTTCCACTCCTAGGCGATCGCGAAAACAGGGCGAAGAAATTGTGCCCACGTTAGCACAGCCTACTCCCCATTCCAAGGCCGCTCTTCGAAAACGAAAGCGTACGGCACTTGCAGTACGACCGCCGCCTCCCATAGATTCCGGGCTCAACCTACACACACTGCTGGATGCACAGCTGGGTGCCGTCGCAAGCAAAGATCCGTGGCTGCGGGCGATGCATGTCCTACATGTTGCAGCGCGTCCGGAAGCATTGCCGTGTCGGGAGGAAGAGTACGGTAGGATCTTGCGTGCTGTGGAGGAATTGCTGGAAGAAGGGAGTGGAGGGTGCATTTGTGAGCTGATTCTACACGTACTGTACAGGGCACAGAGGCTAATTGTGACTTTCATGTCTATGACAGATATCTCCGGCGTCCCGGGAACAGGGAAGACGGCTACCGTGCACGCGGTTGTGCGCGAGCTCAAGCGGATGGCGCAGGAGAACGTACGTATAACCGATATCATTCAGTGACGAGTTGTCTAAATCATGCGATCGTCGCCTAGGAAGCAAATCCTTTTGCATACGTAGAAATAAACGGACTGAGGATTCCTGAGCCCGCCGCCGCTTACGGTTTGTTATGGGAAGCAGTCTGCGGGCATGATACTGAACGTGACGGACATCTGAAGATCAGCTCTAACCAAGCGTTGAAGTCGCTCTCAAGACATTTTAGTGCGGGTGAGAGGGCTGGTCCAGGCGGACACGCATGGTATGGACACTCATGATAATCATGTTCTTGAAGCCTCACCGTCCTTCGTTGCCCAGCGTTGTGCTCATGGACGAATTGGACCAGTTGATGACAACTAAGCAAGATGTGGTGTACAATTTCTTCAACTGGCCCACGTTAATGGGATCGAAACTCGTCGTCCTCGCAGTGGCCAACACAATGGATCTTCCGGAGCGTGTTATGTCAGGTCGCGTAAGAAGTCGATTAGGTAGGTGTGCCTCATCATTCATTTACTAACAATTGACGACGCCGTTACATTAGGAATGATACGCATTAATTTCCAACCGTATACTACTCCGCAATTGGAAAAGATCGTCCAGGCACGGTTACTCAGCGCAAAGGAGGGTCTGTCCGCCGGATCGCCAGACGTCATTGCACCAGACGGCATCAAGTTCGCTGCAATGAAAGTATCGTCAATCAGCGGCGACGCCCGACGGGTGCTGGACATTTGCAGGTAGACTCCCGTTATCCTTGATGATGATGTACCTGCTCATTCGATTTGGAAATATAGACGAACCGTGGAGCTCGTGCAGCCGCGATCCAGAACTGCACGTACAGACGACGTCAAGGAGGTGATCAAGGAGCTGCAGAACAGTCCCACTGCCGCGTACCTGCGCGAACTGAGCTTCCACGAGCGACTTATGCTCGCCGCACTGCTCAAATGTATAAGGAAAGAGGGGATCGAGGAGATTCGGTGGGGAGATGTGAGTTGAGGCCGCTCATCCCGTTCGTGCGTTTGCTCACATGCGAACACCTCCAGGTCCAACACCAACACCTGGTATACATGAACCTCCTTATGAACGACGACGATCCCACTCGGAGACCTACGCCAAGCGACCTGCGCATGGTCCTGGATTCGCTGCTTGCTTGCCGGGCCTTGATTTGTGAAGACGGTGCGGTCGTTGCGCGCAGGCCGGAGGACGATCGGAGGGTGGCTTTGAATCTTGAACACGCGGAGGTCGAACGAGTGCTGGGAGAAGTCGGAGGACCCAAATGGAGGAGTGCGCTCAGCATTTAGCTGTATCTTATGTGAGTTCCTCCGATGAGCTGAGGATGCCGAAAACTCATAGCTGCATGTTTACCAGTCTTGTTTATGAAGCTATAGGGACCTCATACCCCTTCCATAATGTATTACTCCGCATAACGTCCGCATGCAATATCAATCACCAGTATATGGTTACATCCAATCTATTAATGATACATTACCTACTCACAGAGGTGGCAGGGGCCGCCGGCATTGTGGGCAAATGCCCTGGAATAACGATGGAATAAGCTGCCTGTTCCAACCTACTCTGATAAGGCACGTACCTTAATCGCCAGCCACTGTGCGTGATGAGGGAATCAGCACGACCCAGAGAAAGCGAACAACACACGCACCCGCTCAAGACACGCCGTGTGCTACCCGCCAAAGAATCGACAGTCAGCACCCCACGCAGCACGAACAGAGCACAACGCACGAAAAGATGGCAGCACGGTGCGAGACTGTAGCTCTTTCTGGTGTTCGCCGCGCCCAGGATCCCGCCCGAGCGGCGCACGCCCGTCGCAGTGCCGAGAAGGTCACCGAGCTCCTTCCCGTCGCTCGACTTCTCGCGGCGCCGCATGGACGCGTCCACCTCGATCGCGTCCATGCATATCGCGCAGTCGCCGAGCGTCTGCTCCGCCGCCTGGGGATCGGGCAGGGGCAGCGGTGGGTGGTAGTCGTACGTCCTCGTTGCGACGACCTGCCAACAGAGATGTGGTAAGCGGGAAACGTAGTGGGCGGGGAAGACGCACGCGGTGGCCGAGGAAGAAGGTCGGCCCGAAGCGTTCTTGCAGCATGATAATGCAGATTTGGAGGAACATGAGCCCTGCGACGCCGTATATCCAGCCTAGGCCGTGCGCGGCAGTCAGACCAGCTGCGAACGAAAGAGTGCGGAGGACTCACCCCGGGGTTCCACGTCGAGGATGTTCTTCGGACAGCCAAGGAAGTCTGTTGTTCAGTGAGGATGGGCCCGACAACGGCGAATCGTCCTGCGCTTACAGAGTACGAAGAAGAGTCGGCACGCGGTTGCGCCAATGAGGTACTCGGCAGACAGACCGCTGCTCCTGCTCCGCTTAACTGAGCGGTAGATCTGCGTCATCCAGATGAATGAGTAGAGCGAGCCCACGAACAACAACGGCAGGGACAAGATGAGGACAATCCGAAAGACGAAAATTAGGAAGATGGATATAATAGTCCCTGGGAGCAAAGTGAGCTTCGCAGGTCCGTTTACACAAGCGAAAGAGTGGCACGCACACATGCGAGCGGCGGGATCCGTCCGAATGTGGTTCCACAAGAACTGCAAGAACGACGGTCGCTCTTGCACCGCTGGTAGAGTAACCGGGGCATTGGGCTGAGGTGG